TGACACACTTAAATAGGATAGAGTGAAGAAAGGACACTCTCATCATTCCTTCTGTGCTGATGGTGCAAGAAGGTCCTGGAATTCTAAGACATCCAAGAAAAATCAAATTGACTTGCTCATATATAGTAGGTAAGCAAACCCATAATGAGTCTTGCACTTTTCTTATCTACCATACTCAAATTGAATGCATCATTTCTATACAGTTCAGAGCTCCCAAAGATATAGAAATGCTGAGAACATAAGAAAAGGTATTCTTTGTTGTGCTCAGCTTTCCCTGAGCTCTCCTCTTTCCAGATTCAAAGCTAAAGAGGTTTTCTAAAAAATAAGATCGTAACAAAATTCTAACTCCAATGTATTCAGACATACTGCAACCTCAAAGTTTAAGGGTTGAGACCAGCAGATTCACTACTGTGATGTTGCTAAGTTTACCATCTTCCTGTCACTCTGCTCCAACTAAATCTTAGGGTGTTTCCTGTAATGATGAGTACAATAAGGTTATCCCCCAATATTTTTAACTCAGATTACTATTATGAACCTATTTCTGCATTTATGAATCTTGTGTCAATGCTGTCTCTGGCACATGAGAAAAATGTCCTTCTTCTTGAACCCAAAGGAAGGGAACTGGCAATTAACATGGACTTCGGCAATGCATTTAGCAAAGTCTCTCATAATATTCGGTGATCAAGAAGAAAAATATAGGTAGATGATTGTATCATTAACATGGTTTGTAGCTGGCTGAAACAAGATATGCCAAATGGAACTAATTAATGGATTGATATCAAGATGAAGGAGCTCTCCACATGTTCTATATAGCACTTTGTCCTTTTCCCAGTGCTGCTCTGACCTATTATAAATAACTTGGATGCATGTGTAGAATAGCTATTGAATGTATGGGTAAGCTCCAAATATGTTAGAACACAGAATTAGGACATAAAATATCAGAAGAGGTTGGAGTGAAGGGCCAAATCAAAGGGGATAAATTTGAAGTAGCATAAATATAAAGTTCTGTACTTTGGTCTAAAATAATCTGCCCTATTCAAAAATCAAACACACAAAAAGTTGCTAACCAGCAGTATGTGGACGTAGCTATTTGAAGAAGCTTTAAATGGTAAAAGAAATTTAAACATTAAATGTTAAGCAGTATTGTAGGGAGTAGTTATTTGTTGGGTAGTAGAAGGAACATTGGATCTGGCATGAGAAAACTAGGTTGAATTGCAGTTCTGCTTCCTTTAACACCCAAATGCTCTGATTCTCACTTGCTTCTCAGGGTTGTCATGAAGCTAAAGTGCATAAACATGTCTCATTTCCAACTACTTGTGTGCAATAGATATGACCTAGAAGAGTGAGCATTTACAGTAAAATAGGTGGCTGTGCCCATCTGTCTTGTCCTAGAAAAGAGAGTGCTTGGTATGAGTTCCACACTTATAAGTAAACTGGAGCTACTTCCAGAGAAAGTCACCAAGATGGAGAAGCCACTCAGAAGAGCTCATGAAGAACGGTGGCAGGAACTAGGGATAACGGACTTGAAGAACAGTGGATTCGAGGGAGACGATATCTACCTTCAAACATGGGACGGTGTGCTGCAGGGCTCTTCCCAGAGTGCTCAATAGTGGGAAAGCTAATACTAGAGGATGGAAAAGGCACAAATGTAGGCCAGGGTGACCACTTTGGTGGGGATGTTGTGAGTGATTTCAGCACAAGTGGTGGTTGGAGTCCATGGCCTTTAACTTGACAGTCTGGTTGTCATATATCTAGGACATTTCATGAAATGGTTCGTTCTAAATGCTGCCTCAGAGTAATCCAGCATCTCCACTATCTTGGGTTGGGCTGGTTTCTAGCCATAAAATTCTATCACTTTCACTCCAGCACTAGGTCAAAGCTCTTATGTCTCCAATCTGCCTTCATTTACTGGTTTATATCTGCTCTCTGCTTTCTTGAGGAACTTCTGATCATTTAAAATGCATCTTTTTCTGAACCACCCAAGGACACAGTAGAAGGGGTAACTGGTGAACATTTTGCAGAGATGGGCCCGCAAAGCATGATTTCCTGGTTGCTGAAGTAAGACGGGATTAAGAACTAGAATTTACGAGCTCCAGAGTTGGAGCTGTGGACCAAATAAATGTGGAGTGGGCATCAGAGCCCAGAGAAGGTTTTAACTGAGGATTTAGGGCATTGGGGAGAAGCAGACAACACTCCCCTCTGCCTTGAACCTGTGAGCCTACTCGAGTACTCAAAAGTTATTTGGTCAATGGGAGATTTACTGTTTCCGGAGGCAAAATAAGGCCTGGGCAGGCTGCTCAGCATCTTCAACCTGTTCCAGATCACGACCACGGAAAGTGCCTGGGGCAGAGAGGCTGCCCACTTCTGGCCACTCTCCTTCCAAGTGACCCCAGGGAACCATTTTTGGTGTGTGTGTGTGTGTGTGTGTGTGTGTTTAAGCCTTCTTTGGGTGAAAATTGGCTGCAAGCCGGTTGCCAAGGACGCTGCCACCAGTACGCCCCAGCTAGGGTGAAAAAGGACGCTGGTGGGGAGGAGGCTGCGGGAGAGCGTGTGTGTGTGTGTGGGGGGGGGGGGGCGCTGGCTCCTTACTGGCTGGGGCACGAAGGTTATTTGCATAACACTCCCTGACAGCATCTGATTGGCTGAAGCCAGAGGGGCGGCAGTGGGGTGATTACAAGGGCTGGAAGCTCAGGCCAGAGGACCTTTCGTTCCGGAGTTACCCCGGTGGGCGTGAGTTGTAGCGCGGACTCCGGATTGCTGAAGAGGCCGGGTTTAGGAAGTTTCGCAGGCAGGTGCCTACTATTTACAACAGCATGAGCCATCTTCTTCTTACAGTGTTGAAGAAATGTGAAAGAACAGAGACCGTAGTTAGGATGGAGAGTGACCTGGAGAGTGGTCTGAGGAAGGAAGGAAACTGATAGGGGACGGGTGGGTGGCCAAAAATTAGGCTTTAGGGGTTTTCTCCCAAGTTGGGCTTTTTTTTTTGGGGGGGGGGCTGGGATTATTTTGCTACGTCACTGGAATTGCTGTCTTTTCCGAGTTATTATCACACTTTGCTGGATCTGGGAAGATGATTTTAAAAAAGGCAATTGCAGTCAGGAACATAATTATGAGACAATCAGCTCCTGGAAACTGAGTATGTGTTTTTCCAGAGTTGTACTCTTGGAATGTTCTTTGTATCTCATGGGACTTAAGGGTTTAAAATCAATGTGAATTTTGCACTCTCCTGCTGCCTAAGCACTGGGGGAGGGCATGTGGCACATCAGAGCCCACTTCCACATTTTTACAGTTTCAGATGCTTCACATAAACACCTCTAGTCTATGATGAGGTACTATACTAGGTACAATTAATCTTTGCAAAGTACTTTATTTACAATTTGCATACTATTTTTTACATCCATTTTCTTGTTCAATCTTGACCAAAATTCGGCACAGTCCTTGGAAAATGTCCATTTTATTGATAAGGAAACAGGCTGGAAAAGTTGATAAGTTTCCGTGTTTGCAAAGAGGGAGATGAAATTATTTTCTTGCTCTACATTTTCTTTCCTTTGATCCTCTTAAAGACCCTGACAGTAGGTAAGCTGAGCAGATAACATTATCCCTGTGTTAAAGAGAAAACCTGGGCTATGATCTGGAGCTAATGAGGGGATGCAGGGGGATGTCCTTAGACTGTTTTCTGTATCCATGAGTCACTGATTTGTGTCCTGTTGTCAACAGGTCAGTCCTGGTGGTACCAAATCAGATTTTCATTCAAAGGACAATTAGGAAGATCGCTTGCCCCTAGAAAAATTTTATGTGTGAATTAAGCTGAAAGAAAGAGGGAAAGAAATAAACCACTTTATGTGCTTCTCCCTCCTTTTGCACTGTTTATCCTGCAAGAAAAACACTGCACTAAAAGCACCCTTGAAAGGCTTTGGGGAAAAGCAACTTAAAAAAAGAAACTTAAGTCTACTTTAATGCAATGATCTGTAGGCCTGCTGGAGAACACTGGCCAATAAGAGACATGGGAAGGGAAGTGATATGGTTAGACAAAAACAAAAATGGAAAGTGTGCTTTGGGATTCCCAAAGTGAAATTTAAGGTGGCGGGCCCTTAAAAAGTTAAATCCAATGATTTGGTAAATAACCTTGTGCTTTAAGAATTGTGTTTGGAAAGGGTAACACCCTCCAAACCCTCCCTTCCAATGATCAGACACCTCTCCACTTTTCTGTTAAGTGATGACAGACACCCAATGCCAGACCTAACTACTGCCACTCACTCCTCACCCTTGGGCAGTCAGAAAGGCAATCCAGCTCCGGGTCTCCAGCATCTGAATTGCTGGGCTCGAACAAAAATCAGGAGCCATTGCCACATCTGATTTCTTAGAAAAAGCTGCTGATCCGACGGTGAGTCGTTGTTCTTCATCCCTCTAGCAGTTGTTAGAGCAAAGATTGGGAAAGAACTAGCCTTGAGGTAGGCAAAGGCCTCTGAGGCTCCCCACACTCCCCACCCCCCAGCAGCTGGCAAGACCAGGGCCACCACGGAATGCCACGAGTCCACGTGCACCCGGTATGGCTTGCCCAGCCGCCCTTCTTACGTAAGAGTGCCGGGATGGAGTCGCTGAGCCCGTGGCCTTCCCATTACCCCCGACAGCTAATAATAAACCGAGAAGGTAGTTTCCGGGCCTTGGTCACTATAGATGAGTGGGTGGGGGAGTCACTTTGCCACCTGGTGGCATGCCTTCCGATCAGCCCACTCCCAAAACCTTCGCAAGGTCCACGCAGCCCCCGCCGACAACCCACCCTCTGGCCAGTCGGACGCTGGCGCCTTCTTTACCCGCGCAGTGCCCGGCCCTACCCCAGCTGGCCGGTTCTGCGCCCGGCGTCGGCGGGGCGCGGCCGCTCCATCCCTCCTCTGCCCTGCCCTGCCCTGCCCCTGCGCCCTCCCTCCGCCCGGGTATCAGGCGAGAGGCGGAGCCGGCCCGGCTCGCCCCGCCCCCGCAGTGGAAAGGGCCTGGGAGTGTTACTCGCGGTCATCCCAGCCCGGGCCTTTTATCTTGGCGCCGCCGGGGAGGCGGGAGGAGGAGACACCGGGGGTGGCCCTGAGTGCCGGCGACACCTTTTCGGGGCTCTATATATTGAGCACCTGGGATGGGTAGGGGGCCCACGCCACTACCGACGCCTGCAGCCACAGTCCGGCCACTGACCGCAGCCGCGCCCGCAGGCAGCCGCCGCCAGCTCCGGAAGCGCTGAGCTACCCAGCTGCGGGAGATCTCGAGGCGCCAGGGGAGGTGGTTACCCCCGCCGCATCTCTGCCCCGGTCCGCGTGGGTGCTTAGACTTAGATCTTTCGGGGGGAGTCGGGGAGGGGACACCCCTTCCTTCTCTGGGCGGCCCTCGCGGACGAGGAGGTGGGAGCGCCCGACTGCGGGGAGCCACCCGGGCGGCATCCTGGGCGAGCAGTACCCGGCGAGGGAGGGGCGCGCGGGCTGCCTAACCGGGTAAATAATCTTTTCTTTCGTCCCGGCTTCCCTCCCAGGTCCGGGCTCGACCCACCGGCCGTGCGCCGTCATCGTGATCTTCCGGACGCCGGAGCCAGAAGCCGCGCGTCCCGCGGGGCCCGGCTGCCGGAGAGCCGAGAGTGGGCGAGGGCGGAGGAGGAGCCGGGAATCCCGCCGCACCGGCTGTAGCCAGGCCCCGGGCGCGGGCCTCCGAGAGCGCGTGAAGGCGGGCACTCCTCGGCCCGGTCGGCCATCCCCGTGCCCTGTGCTCCGGTGCTCCGGCGCCCGTGTGGTCACCATGATGCAAATCTGCGACACCTACAACCAGAAGCACTCGCTCTTCAACGCCATGAACCGATTCATCGGCGCCGTGAACAACATGGACCAGACGGTGATGGTGCCCAGCCTGCTGCGCGACGTGCCCCTGGCCGAGCCCGGGCTGGACAACGACGTCGGGGTGGAGGTCGGCGGCAGTGGCGGCTGCCTGGAGGAGCGCACGCCTACGGCCCCCGGCCCAGGCAGCGGCACCGGCAGCTTTTTCGCGCCCTCCCGGGACATGTACAGCCACTACGTGCTGCTCAAGTCCATCCGCAACGACATCGAGTGGGGGGTCCTGCACCAACCGCCACCGCCGGCGGGGAGCGAGGAAGGCAGCGCCTGGAAGTCCAAGGACATCCTCGTGGACCTGAGCCACCTGGAGGGCGCGGACGCCGGCGAGGAGGACCTGGAAGAGCAGTTCCACTACCACCTGCGCGGGCTGCACACCGTGCTGTCCAAACTCACGCGCAAAGCCAACATCCTCACCAACAGATACAAGCAGGAGATCGGCTTTGGCAACTGGGGCCACTGAGGGGGGACACCCGCGGCTGTCCAGCACCCCTCCGGGCCCCACCTCTCACCCTGTCTCTTTCTTCAAAGCTATTTTCTTTCTGGCTGTAGGCGCGATGGGCGGACTGCAAAGTCTGGGAGCTGCGTACACGCAGGGGGCGCAGGAGGGCTGCATGGTGGTGGGGTAACTCAAGGCGAGGAAACCGGCGGCGGCAGAAGGGGGCTCAAGGACCTCCCGGAGGCGGGGCGGGGGCGAGAGACCTGCGTTCTATGCTGGAAGGAAGGGGCCGGGCTCACGCCCTGCTTTCAGCCTGTGCCTTCCCTGGAGTTTCTTTTCTGTTCTCTGTGGCGGAGAAGGGCCGAGAAGGGGCCGTGCCAGGGCGCAACGCCGGGTTGCCACACTGGGGAGTGCCGCCCTGAGCTGGGCGCTGAGGGAGGCGGGGCGTGCAGCCTCCAGCCGCCCTGCCGTTGGGCTGGTGGAGGCCTCGGCGTTGCTAGGATTGCATCAGTTTTCCTGTTTGCACACTATTCTTTTTTGTAACAGTGGCCCTGTCTTAAGTATTTTGTACCTCCTCCTTGCTCTGAAACTTTGGCGATTCCTTTGTGATAAGCGCACAAGCAGCACTGTCTGTGGGTAACCGGTACTACTTTATTAATGATTTTCTGTTACACTGTATAGTTGTCCTGTGGCACCCTTACCCCAGCCCTTTCATGCCCCCACCCATGTGTGTAAATCGGCACTGTGCCAGCTTGTATGAAGCTTGCCACTCAGCCGTTGAAAATAATAGCATTATTATGAGAAAGTGGACTTATCCGAAATGGAACCAACTGACATTCTATTCGTGTTGTACGTAGAATGATGAAGGGTTCCACTGTTGTTATATGTCTGAAATTTATTTAAAACTTTTTTAACCCAGATGTAGACTATATTCTAAAAAATAAAAAAGCAAATGTGTTAACGAAACTCCACAGAAGTTTGTTGCTCTTTAATCCACCATTGAACCACTTGGTAGTTAAATAAAGTCAATTGCTATTTTTTAAGCAAGAATAAATTTTGTTCGCCCTCTGATATTTTCAGGTGATGGATAATCATCTCCGTAAGTATTCCGTTTTGCTTTGGAAATTGCCACTGACAAGATTTCCTTCCAAGTTTTTCTAATTCAGAACCAAGGTAGGCCCATACATCTCAACAACATGTTTGTAAATATTTCAAGTTTTGGGGAGGGTATCTATGTTGTGTTTTTTCAACCAAGTCAACTAGTTTACAGGAGTGCACGATAATCATTTTGAATTTTTTTGAGAAGTGCCAGCACTAACAGGCATTTGAAGGCATAAAAACTTGAGGCGGAAATTTCATTTGGCTACTGAGAAGTGAGGAGCAGCTGGTACTAGTGCACACACCTTGTAGGTTTTTATTTACAAGTCTTTTATGTTGATCTTAGGAGATATTAAATGTGTTATAACTTGTGCCTCTTTCACTAGCTCCTAGTGAAGGGTTAGGCTTTGTTAAGCAATGTCCTGCATTTTCTGGTGAGCTAGTCTGCAATTCTGGACAGCAGAGCTGATCCGGGCTGCAGTAGGGCTCTTGGGAACACCCCTTAGATGCCACGATACTTTCCTGGGATGGTGGCACAAGCGAAGGACACACAGTGCTCTGCCTCTTCCTTATTTCATTCATTGTTGGGGGGGGGGGAAATAAGAGCTCAACTTCAGTTTTCAGACCTCCTCCAAGCTCATAGAGCTTGAATTTGACGTGGGTATAACTAGTTAAAAAGGTCATAAGTTTTTTTGCAGTGTGGGCAGCTGAAGTCTATTATCAGCTGTTAGCAGCAGTCAAAGAACGGGAAGTGTCAAAACTAGGGTGCCCGCCAGCTGTTGCCAGAGAAAGTTAACCATTAACGTGTAAAGATAAGCAGTGCAGCACCAAAAGTAAGGTACACAGCCTCTTGCTTTGGATCTCCTTGAAAATATTAAAATGCAAGCACAAAATACAAAAGTAGGAAACCAAAATTCACAATTAGAAACACCAAGAATTTGGAGCCAAAGTTGTGTGTTCAAATCCTCTTTTTACTACCTATTAATTGTGAGTGTTTAACCATCCCGGATTGTTACCACATTTGAAATTAGGCATCATAATAGCGAAAATACTTACTTCATGGAGTTGTAGCAAGAATTAACTAAGACATTACAGGATGCTGAGGCTTCAATGTTTCTTGAGGCTGCTGAAGGGTCTTGCAGGTTTCTCTCTTTATATGTTGGTTCATGTTTCTCTCCCCAGCCTTTCTTTCTCCAGGAATACATGAAGCTTAACACTGTATGTCCATTTAAAGGAAAGCATCATTTCAATTATTTAAACTCTTTCCTTGTCAACGTGTACAGAAAGAACTGAATTAAAACCAAAAATTTGCGGCCTGGCCAGATAATAGCAAGAATTTTATGAGATGCCAATGATTTGTTATTTTTTAAAGAATATTCTTGTGGTATGTAGACTAGAAAATACCACAGAGTGCATCGATGCTGATAACAAAACTAAACTGAAAAGTTACCAATTTTCAACTTATTTTTGAGAATACGACTTCACATAAGAGTATTTTTAAATACAACTAGTGACTCGGAGTTAGGCATAATGGTAATTAAATTTTTTTATGAACCAGTAAAATTTCCCAGGCCTGGTAAATTCTAGGCCACTGAGAGTAGCTATGACTTAATTTGACATCATTTTATGAAACAAAAGAAGGTCAAGTCCCTGACGTTTACCTGTGAAAACTTGTATCAAGTTATTTAAAATTTTGCTTTAACTTCTGAGATAAAATGATAAGTGACTTCATATTTTCAGAAGGTCTTTTCTGAGGAAACTCAAAATAGTTCATAGATTTTGAAAGTTGTAAATATGGTGGCATCTTCCTCAAAGAGTTCTCAGGGATGCCCCTCGTCTGCCAGCACCCACCTCCCTGGCAGCCTGTTAGTAAAGACAAGGCACAACTTGATGAACCTGGCAGAAAGGGAGAGCTTAGATTGCAATTGATCACCCTCTAGATATTTACATCTAATGAGATTCTACTGCAAAACCTTCATGAAGGCTTTGAGAAGGTCTGGTTTTATTTTATAAAAACAGTTTTCTGCTTTGATCACATGGGGTTTTTCATGTGTGACCTTCACACAGGGTTCCATAGTGGGCTGGCCCAACTCACTCTCTGAACACAAACCCAATGGTTAGAGAACATACCTGGGCAGCTGGGATTGTTCTTTGGCCCAACTTGAAAACTAGTCTAACAATTTTTATTGAAATGAAAGTCATTGTCATTTGTCCCGTTCCAGGGACTTCAGAGTTTATCCTTATGAGGGTGAACCCCCTTGGATAGTAGACAGGGCTTGGATGTGCACACTGGATTGTCCGAGGATGGACACTGGGTAGGAAGGAAAGAGAGTAGAGCAGAGGCTGGTGTCCTTCCACCCCTCCCCCACCCTTTTCAGGACCAACAAAGGATTTGCAAGCCTGCAGAAAAGAAAAAGAGGTGAAAACAACTCAAGCTTTAAGGTCTCTTCCTGTATCAGCAAATGAAGATTCCAAGGTTTTTCTCCCTAGTTCCCACAATGCTCAGGAGTCTCCTTGCTCCGTTGAAGAATATTATTTAAGGAAGGAAATGTTGGGTGAGGAAAAGGAAACCCACATCTGGAACACAGAACTTTTCTAGCTGGTTGCTATGCAGTGCTTGGATGGTGGCAATTATTGCAAAGACACAAACAGAATCATCTATAAAACTATGAAGATTTCACCTCCTTGAATTTTCTTCCATTCTTTTTTCAAAATTGAGTTAGCTGTTCTCTTTTCAGTGTCAAAAGTCTTGTTCAAAGTTAAAGCAGATGACTAGTAGTTGAGCATCTGTCTAAAAAAGGCCTGCTAAAACCACAACTATCTCAGCAGCCCTTCCTGTTTTGGCATTCTCTTTTTTAAGAGGAACATTTTTTGTATCTTCTCATTCTTTTTGTTATACTTTATGACTTTGACTAATGTTCGAGAATGCTTTGCTTAGCAGTTTTAAAAATATATTTGCCTGTGTGTGCCCAACTTCAATAATCTCCAACTGGTAAGAATTTTGATTGGAGAAAGTCTTATCATCTAGTTAAGAGCAGGGTAAATTTCTGACCTTGAACTGTCAAGAGAAAGTGCTTTCTAACGCAGTTGATAAGACTGGGAAAATACTAGCCAGCATAAAGCTCAGGTCTTTCTTTTAGCAAGCTAAATAAACAATGTTGGGGGTGGGGCATGTTCTAGAATCTGTTTTACTTTTCAATATCAATCTTACTGGTGTTGATATATGCATTTCTATCGACAAGTATTCAGCTAACAGGATGAAACTGGACATGATTCATTTGATGTCTTCAAAGGTAGGGACTAACTTTGTAGTTTTTTTTTTCCTTTTGAATACCACACTGCTGAGGTAAAGAATGTTGTAGCTTGTGGGTGAGCTCAATAGGGCAAATTAAAACCTGACTACCCTTCCACCATGTTGAAATACGTGACAGAACTTGTGGTGCCCGTGGATAATGGCTTTTTTCTCTTCTTAGCAGATATCTAATTGAGGATATTTCCTGTTTGGTAGTCAGGGAAAGATGAAAATGAAAGTATTACTTTGTTGGTTGTGACCGAAGTATTTAAAACGTGCCAGTTGTTCACAATGTGATATTAATTTTAAGCCCTGCCTCTTAAAGGGAACACATACGTTAGGAAAGAACACGTAGACGCTCCACAGCAGTCAAACTATGTGCAGAATGAAAGGAGCATAGTTAGTGCAGTTTAGTCATTCAAAACAAGGTGTAGCGTTTTGTGGCATGTCACTGACATTGCAGCTTGTAACTCAGGGATGCTTAGGGGGTATAATTGAGTTTCTGTTGTGATACGTACTTGTTGACAATTCCTTCACAGCTTAAATGGTAAGAGAGGGAAGTGCCAGAAATGTAGGTGTTTAAGCCAGGTGTTGAAGGTTGAGAGGAATCTTAGAAGCCAGCAGCCTTTTGGGCCTCCCTGGTGGCACAGGGGTTAAAGTCTCAGTGCTGTCAAGCTATTGGTAGTCACTGCAGCATGAGTTCCATCCCCGGCCAGGGTGTCAACTCACATGGCACAGCAGACCTCTCCTGTCTAGCCCGCTGCTCCCCTCAGCAGTGTATTTCCATCCGTCTGCCTGTTCTGTTCTTCACTCTGTCTCTGATGAATCCTCTCATTCCCCCCGCACCCCCGCACCTCTAGCCTACACCCCAGTTCTTGTATGCATAAACAAATAAAAATAAATCTTAAAAAAAAAAAAAAAACAGCAGCCTTTTCCCTCTAGCAGGTTCAGGACCAGAGGAAACAGCCTGCTCCCTGCAGCCAGTTTGGATCTATGTGGGAAAAGGAAGGCACCAAGACAACAAACCTGCCTGATTCAGTCTTTCTAAATGTTCCAGCTGGCGCCTCGCCGTCCCTGGGTCAATGGGACAAGGGAAGTGAGGAATAAAGGCAAAGTATGTTTCAAAACAGTCCTACCCTTTGGAAACTGGGGACGTGTGGAGAAGATTCTTCTCTTCTGATAGAAGGTCATGATACCTTTTTCTCTGACTAAAAAGGCAGTAAATATTGGGCTGAAGTATATGAATTTGACATTTTTTTCAGTTCAAGATGGCTGAATAACTCCTGATTCCAGTGATTAGGTCTCCCTCTGTGTGGCAGTGCAGTAAGCCTTTCCTATCAGCTTATGAAACTGTTGTTTGCCAACTCAGGGTTGGCCTGGTTTTCAGACAGAGGGAGTAGGAGACAATAGACCAACGGGAACAATTGTATAAAAGACACAATAAAAATGGAAGAAAGAGGAGGAGACTCAAAAATGAAGATATGGAAAAGTGGCTGTAGCAATTGTATTTTCTATAAAAGACTGCAAAGTTATTTATTTCTGGCTCTACCTACTCCTGCATGACCTTGCCAC